TGAGGTGAGTGGATTGCCTGTGCCCGCGGGTTCGAGACCCGCCTGGGCAGCGAGACCTCACCTCTACAATAAATAAAAAAAAAAAATTAAACCGGGCTCGGTGGCTCAGCCTGTAATCCCGTGCCTTTGGGAGGCTGAGGTGAGTGAATTGCCTGAGCCTGCGGGTTCGAGACCCGCCTGGGCAAGTGAGACCTCATCTCTACAATAAATAAAAAAAAAAAATTAAACTGGGCTCGGTGGCTCAGCCTGTGATCCCGCGCCTTTGGGAGGCTGAGGTGAGTGGATTGCCTGAGCCCGCGGGTTCAAGACCCACCTGGGCAGTGAGACCTCATCTCTACAATAAACCAAAAAATCAGCCGGGCGTGGTAGCACATGCCTGTAATTCCGGCTACTTGGAAGGCTGAAGTGCAAGGATCGCTGGAGCCCAGCAGGTTGAGGCTGCGGTGGCCGGGAGCGGCCACTGCACTCCAGTCTGGGTGACAGAGTGAGACTCCAACTCAAAAAAAAAAACAAAACATTAGCCAGGCGTGGTAGCACGCACCTGTAATTCCGGCTACTCGGAAGGCTGAGGCGGAAGGATCGCCGGAGCCCAGCAGGTCGAGGCTGCGGTGGCCGGGAGCAGCCACTGCACTCCAATCTGGGCGACCGAGTGAGACTCCAACTCAAAAAAAAAACAAAAGCAAAACAAAACTTTTTTTGTAGAGACAATGTTTTGCTCTGTTGTCTAGGCTGGTCTTGTATTCCTAGGCTCAGGCGATCCTTCTACCTTGATCTCCCAAAGTGCTGGGATTACAGACATGAGCCACTGTGCCTGGCTTTGTTTCTTTTTAAAAAAATTTAAACATATTTAACCAACATAACCAGGTATGGCTCAAAACTGTAATCCCAGCACATTGGGAGATGGAGCTGAGAGAATTGTCTTAGCCCAGAGGTTTAAGACCAGCTTGGGCAACATACCAAGACCTCTTTAATTTAAAAAAAAAAAAAATTAGCTGGGCGTGGTGGCACACACTTGTAGTCCCAGTTGCTTGGGAGACTGAGGCAGAAGGATCACCTAAGCCCAACTGGTCAAGACTGCAGTGACTATGAACGTGCCACTGCCCTCCAGCTGGAGCAACAGAGTGAGACTCCAACTCAAAAAATGATGAAACAAGTGAACAATTCAAAACGAAAAAATAAGCCGGGCTCGGTGGCTAAGCCTGTAATCCCACGCCTTTGGGAGGCCAAGGTGAGTGAATTGCCTGAGCCCGTGGGTTCAAGACCTGCCTGGGCAACTTGGCGAGACCTCATCTCTACAATAAATCAAAAATTCGCTGGGCATGGTAGCGCACGCCTGTAGTTCCGGCTACTTGGAAGGCTGAGGCGGAAGGGTCGCTGGAGCCCA